CATGTCGCACTTCTCAAACCATAGAAACTGGGACGGACTGTGAGGAATGTTATTCCTCTCAGCTCCAGCTACTTCCCACACACGAGAGATGAGGCGAGTGTACGGTTCAGAGTCCTTGGAGAGGGGGATTTCAAACTCATCAGAATGACGGCCAAATTCTGCTCACTCATTTCTGTACGATAACCACTGGTCGTAAGCGCAAGAAGCCCTCAGAAAATCCTCCTAGTAAACAAATGAGAGGTGAGATTATTACAGTAAACCTTGCAACCAATCCTAGTATTATTGCAGATAACAATCGATACGTGTGCCAAGTGTATCGAGACAAGGAGTACGACGACATTGTTTTATTTTCTGCCTTTCTTCACCATGAGCTGTATTTCACTGTAAGTGTGATAACTAACCAAACAGGCAGCGCATGCATATTTTTTCAATCACTTTCCAGCAACTGAAGGAGTTTGTAAAGGAGAACTTCTTTTCTCGACTGTTCTCGCTCTCTTTCGAGCACGATCAGTATTCTAGAGGACAAAGTAGCGCTAAAGTGGCCCCTTGATATAAGATGGGAAATAGACTCTGACAAAGAACCTTGTCAGGTTTGTAGTGCTTGCTCTACTTAATCCCAATTGATGTAAAGGTATTATAATGTGCAGCTAACCAAAGAAATGATGGACTCTAGTGATAGCCTCCCATATCCTCCGACAATCAAGCTCGAAATCGAGAGAGCCCCTAATTCAAGTCTTCAGTCCATTAGAATTCCGGTGGAGATATTGGGTATCACAGAGCCGGGAAAGAAATTCATACTAAAGCCAAAGTTGAGGCAAGGTATCTATATGCACAGTGTCATACATTATTCTCTGTGTTCATGCCTTAATAAGAGTGCAAATAACAAGATTCCACTCCCTGTAGGCACCAGTCCACGTATTGCTATTATTCTATCATATCAGCTTCTTCTGGTCCGGTCGTAGTCCAACCGATGCCCTAGTCACCACACAGACTCGCCAATAACACAGCATAGTCACTTGTCAACATCACGTTCACTTACAGCTCTCCTCTCTCTCCCTTAGACGCTGTAGCACTGGAGCTCCAGTACAAACCCTGAGGATGTAAGCGCCCGAAGGAAGTCGCTCTTGCAGATAATAGCCAAGATAATAGATTCAGCAGCTGGCGAATACCTCGCGGACACATACCTGGACCTCAGCAGACCCCAGGAAGAGGTGAGATGTGCCAGAAATATCAGGGAAGACTATGGAATGCACGAAGCGAGAGTGTCTGCGAGGTGTGGAGGAGATGAAGGAGAAGCCTACGTACAGAGCGCATCTCAGCAGACAGACGTGAAGCACGTAAGAAGACAGGCAGGTGGCACAGGACTGTGTGTAGATCAGATGCGTATGAGGAAATGAACAACCTAGTGCTAATGTTAGTTGTCTATAGAGAATGGTCTCTGAATCCGAATGTAGCTGTGCTGCTTTTGAGCACACATTGCATCCAATTTACGTTGATCCTATATGGCACATGCTGCGCTGTAATTGCGTGCGACACTACCCTGGATGGTCAGCTAATTAATCAGGGATTGTCGTCGATGTCGCCATCTGGAGCGTCAGGTCCCACCAGGAGCCTCATATCGTCGTAACAACGACGGAACTTTTGCTTGGTCAACATCGACTGGCGAGCGCTGGAGAGAGAACGAGAGATGCTGGTGTTACCAGGTTACAGCGTCTGTCCTTCTGTGCAGGACAGAATCAGAATCTGTACTGAAGAAGGCCGATGAAGATCGTAGACCGAGTGAGATCCATGCTGTGAAGTAACGCATGAAGAGAGTGCCAGGAATGACAAGGAATGACGTTATCGCGCTCATCAAGCGTTCGGCTAGCCCAGTGTCTCTGGTTACCGTCAAACAGGGTGAGTCTAGTCCCCACTCTCTTTATGAGTAGGAAAGGGGGTGGGGGTTGGAGAGAAAGAGAGGTATTAATAGGTAAAGCTCGAAGTATATACAGTTGCTGTAAAGTGAAGCGACATACAATGTATAACAGTATTATACTCATTTTACGTTGCACGTGGCGGCCAACCTCAAATGGGGTCTGTTTCTGATGACATTCGAGCAGGTTTCGTTTGTGCTGCATTCTCATGACATCACTGTCCTCCTTCTACCTCTCTCTTTCTCCCTTTCTCTCCCTCTCATTGTAGATCACGTTATAACTAGTAATCTCAAGGTGTACATGGACACCGCATTCCCCAGAGATTCACCCGACTTGGTCCTGCAAAGGGAGATCATCTCTAACCTGCACATGAGAGTTGTTCCATGTAAGACACACATTATGTGTTCACACTGGGTGTGCCTGTGCCCTGTAGGACTCACACATTCAGTTTCTCTAAGGTCTGATTCATCCCCACCTTTCCTGCAGGTACCACTAGGAACCCTCGACCTGGAGAGACACCTGGAGTGGACTTTAACTTCATCTCCAAAGAGACCTTCCTGGAGATGGATAAAGAGGGAGAGTTCTTGCAGGTCGGGACATATCAGGGGAATTTCTATGGAACCCCAAAACCCCCAGCAAAACCTGAGGCCCCCAGTGGCCCCTCCTCCAGGTCAGAGGTTATCAGAGTTTACAGGCTAATTCACCAATGCTATAACACAGATTGCCCACACATCACAACACATGTAATTTCTATAGAGCATAGGTCAAGTGGCTTTTTGCAGATTTGAAAAGACTTAAGACCAGTTCAAGAGCACAAATTACCTGGAACAGCTTGGCTCTTGTTGATCCTTGTTGCACTGTTAAACATAGAAGTTGATTGAGCTTGGGGTCCTCACTTCACATGTACACCAAGAGTTGTGGATGCGCATGCATAGTGCCTGTCCGGTGCCTGTACGTTAGTGGGACTGGGTTTTAGTATGTGTATCCACAATTAACCCTCTCCTTTCTTTGACTGCAGGTCTGGCGTGGCCAGTGAGTACAGCAGGACTCCACAGTTGCCCACAGTGGACTCACCCTACCTCTCTGGTTTTGATTCCACTAGTGAGGAGCTGCCTCCTCTGGTACCCTCCACCACTGTGTCAACACCCCCTAGCAACTCACCAAGCAGTAAGCTTCTTCTTTCCCTCTTTTGATTCGGAAAACGCAGCACATTTGTTCTGAAATAGGGAGATATAACATGGGGAGGGCGGCAGCATGTTATGAAACATACCATGCCCCTTGTAATGAAAAGCACTAAAGTGCAAACCCTCGGCAAACTGCGCATGCGCGGTACCGCTAATGGATGGGCTGGGCTATTGGCGTTTACTCGCAGTCTCCCGCTAGTAGCTTGCGGATAGTCTGACATAGTCTGTCTGAGAGTCTGACACTGGCTAGCTACAGTAGTAGATAGCATGCAGGAGTTGATACACACCCTTCGCTGTGGCTTCTTGTGCCTCCAAGGTACACAGAGCAAGCAGATCTGGTCGAGGTGAGCCAGCATACTGCGTTGATCGCGTCTAATACACCCATGCGCACCGCTTATTGATGGGTTGGGCCACGCAACGCGGTCCGTGACTGTGTCAGTTTGTCACTCTCGAACGCAGTCATTTCAGCAAAATCGCCATTTTATTTTTCTAGCCCATGTACAGCTGAAGCTGTTGGTATCACTCATAAGCCGCCTCGTAGCCTGTAGTGCGAGAATAGTCGTAGACAGACAGACAGACACACACACAGACACACAGAACGACTACCGTAACCCTCGCTGCGCATGCGCGCCGAGGGTTAATGAATTGGCACCTGTTCTTCACCCCACCTCTCTTTTCATACCTTCTATCTCTAACCATCACATCTTTTTCACTGCTGCCAACACAGATTATATCAGCAGTATTTAAACCTCGCCCAGTTACTAAGCATTCAGCTATAGCCCATAGACAATATATTTTTGCTTAGGTGGTATATGAATAACTATGTGTACCTTACTAACCAAGAGTGTCACATTCTATTCTATTGTCTAGGAAAGGAATCCTTGGAGATAGACAAGAAGGATAGAAAACTCTATGAGGAATCAATGACAAGGGGCTACATTGAGTCAGCTCTCGCTCTCCTGATTCTCGTGGGTGTGACTGGATCGGGCAAGAGCCTCTTCAAACGTCTAGTTTTAGGTCTTTCAGTTCCAGAGTTCAGTCCCTCCACCCCGCTTGCCGAGTCAGCTGTCCGCTCCATCTCCATATGCCAGGTAGCAGTGGGCGGTGTGAAATGGGTAATTGTGGGTCTGCAAGAAATGATGAAAATGGTTGCAGAGACGATAAGGGGAGGGGTACCACTTCTTGCATCAGCATGGAAAGATTCGAGCGAGTTAGCATTCACGAGCACACAACCTGATTCAACTGATACAACACACTCTCATTCTCCTCAGCAGACCTCTCGACCAGAACTAGAAAAGCAAGAGCCGATTCAAAGACATGTGAAAACAGAAACTACCTTACTTTCATGCGCTTGCTCTGCAGAGAATGCTTTGACGGAAATCGAGATAGATTTAGAGCTTATGCGTCAGCTGACCAAATCATCTGCCGTTCAAAAATTAATGGACGTCGATTTCATCTACCTTTTAGACAGTGGTGGGCAGCCACCGTTCAGAGAGATGCTCCCACACTTTGTCCAGCAGTCGTCTGCCATTGTCCTGATGCAGAAGCTCAACGAGAGGTTGGACTTTAGACCGACCATCAAGTACCGGGAAGAGGGAGGAAGAGTGGACGAAGGATACACATCCCAACTGACAAACGAGCAGATTTTGCACCAGTACGTCCAGGCAGTTCAGTCTCAAAAGTCCAAAGTGTTTGTGGTGGGCACTCACAGGGACAGGGAGGGCGAGTGCGAGCATGAGACAAGAGAAATGAAGAGCAAAGCGCTGCTTGAAGCTTTCCGGCCGGTTCTACACCGAACAAATGGAGCTGTACGAAGTAGGTGAGCCAGAGCA